CATACCAGATTTTAGGCTGTACTACAAGGCCATAGTGGTCAAGACAGCATGGTACTGGCACAAAAATAGAGACATAGACATTTGGAATCGAATAGAAAACCAGGAAATGAAACCAACATTTTACAACCACCTAATCTCTGATAAACCAAGCAAGAACATCCACTGGGGAAAAGACTCCCTAATCAATAAATGGTGCTGGGAGAATTAGATATCCACAGGTAAAAGTCTGAAATTGGACCTGTGCCTTTCTCCACTCACAAAAATTGATTCAAGATGGATAAAGGACTTAAATTTAAGGTATGAAACAATAAAAATCCTCAAAGAAAGAATAGGAAAAACACTGGAAGATATCATCCTGGGGAAAGACTTCATGAAGAAGATTGTGTGGCAATAGCAATAATAAAAAAATAGGATTTAATTAAACTGAAAAGCTTCTGTATAGCCAAGGAGACAACAACCAAAGCAAATAGATATCCTACCCAACGGGAAAGGATATTTGCATATTTTGAATCAGACAAAAGCTTAATAACTAGGATCTATACAGAACTTCACTTAACCCACAAGAAAAAACCCAACAATCTCAAACATCAATGGGGAAGAGAGATGAATAGAACCTTCTCTAAAGAAGACAGACGAATGGCTAGCAAACACATGAAAAAATGCTCATCATCCCTAATTATTACAGAAATGCAAATTAAAATCACCCTGAGATATCATCTAGCCCCAGCGAGAATGGCCTATATCACAAAATCTCAAAACTGCAGATGCTGGTGCAGATGTGGAGAGAAAGGAACGCTTTTGCACTGCTGATGGGACTGCAAACTAATACAATCTTTTTGGAAGGAAGTATGGAGAAACCTCAAAGAACTCAACCTAGACCTCCCATTTGGTCCTGCTATCCCATTACTGCGCATCTATCCAGAAGGAAAAGTAAAACCTTTTATTATAAAGACACTTGTACTAGACTGTTTATCGCAGCTAAATTTACAATCGCTAAAATGTGGAAACAGCCTAAATGCCCTTCATCCCAGGAATGAATTGGCAAGCTGTGGAATATTATTTAGCCATTAAAAAAACGGAGACTTTGCAGCATTTGTATTAACCTGGATGGAGGTGGAACACATTACTCTTAGTGAATCATCACAGGAATGGAGAAGCATGAATCCTATGTATTCAACTTTGAGATGAGGACAATTAATGACACGGTGGGGCATACGCAAAGGGGAGAGCAGACAGAGAAGGAGGGAGGGGGTGAGGGAAAGGAAAAGAAAAAGAAAATAGTGACTAATTCTCACATAAACTGGATTTAATTTTGACCAAAGTACATTACTTAAACATTAATTTTTAATTCAACTTGTTAGTATGTTGTTTAGGATATTGCATCCTCATTTATAAGTGAAATATGTTTGTAATTTCCCTTTACAATAACATATTTTTTCCAATTTTAATATCAGGTTTATCCAGATGAAAAAAAATGTTTGCATTTTCCAAGGTCTCTCCAGTTGGCTTAATCCAGAACACTGGTTTTTCCTCATGGTAAATTTCATATTCATCATTACATACTGGATGTTTAATATATGTTTTGAGAATGTTGAATGAGTGTTTATTACATAAAAAAATTACTTAACCTTAAAAAAAATTACTTTGTCTTTGTCTCTGAAATAAGAACTCCAAGTGACCAAAAGCTCTGTTTGTCTCATTCTTCACTGAGTTCCAAAAGCTCAGGTGAGTAAGCACTCAAGGAATATCTGGTGAATGAATGGTGTAGATTTAACATTGTCAAATATGCCGGGTGTCTGTATGCCCAGCTCCTCCAGGGGCTGAGGCAGGAAGATCCCTGATGCCCAGTAGTTCAAGTCCAGTCTGGGCAATATAGGAAGATTCATCTCTTAAAAAAATAATAGTTTGGGCTGAAACTGTAGCTCAGTGGGTAGATACAGTATTTGGTTCAAACATAATCCCAAATCCATCTTCATAAGATAAACAGACACTTGAATAAGAAACAGTAACTAAATGTGGATTTCTCATACCAGTTTGTTGAAATTGATGTGATAACTTGTAAGAAGACTGAATTTAAAAATTGAAGCCTTTTTAGATTTATCCTTGCATCCTTTTATGGATTTTTTCACTCTTGATTACTTTCTCGCTTACCTGCTTTCTTTCACTTATTTAATCAACCATTTGCTTTCTAAATATTGATTGCTCACACTGCCAAGCACCATGCTAATAATCCTTTTCTCTCAATGGCCACACCCACCTTCCAGCACAATCCTGCTGAGTGTTTTAGGCTGGCCCTTACCTTCAAATTCCCTGGGACTTGTACTACAGGGGTCTCTAGCATGGCAACCTTTAGCCAGAGATGAGGACAGTTCATACACAGAATCTTATGGGGTGTCAGCTTATATGTTAATTTGCTGAACAATAATCAGTCTAGCCCTCGGATTTATATGATACTGTACTGGATTTTTAAACACTTTCTTTGATATACTTTCTCATTTATTTCAGAGATATTTATCCCAGTACCCACTTTTCAGAAGTTACAGGCACCTAAATCAATGAAAATACCTTCTCTTTAGACTGCTGGGGGGATGCTCCTAGAAAAAGAATTTTCTTTCTTGTCTTAATATCCACCTCAATTGTAAAAGCATGTGTTCCTTAAAATGTTTTAAGTTTACAATGACATCATTAAATACCTCAATGTCTCATATTTCATTTTTCTTACCTTTGGGGGGGAAATAGGCAAAGGAACCCACAATAGAAAATAATTTTCCCTCTGGGAAAAGAAAGAGGGGTGTATATGGAAGCTGAGGTTAAAACTGAGTTGCTGTGAGGCTGGAGGTTCAGCTCTCTCCTTAAACATTATTCGGTTCTACCTACAAGTACAATAAATGAAGCAAAATTACGCTTGGGCACAAATAAAGTTCTTGGATTGGACCTGTTGGTCCAGTTTTCCTCTTCATTTCCTTACCCTCTCTGCCTTTATCCATTAATTCTCCCCTTCCCAGTACTCAAACTCTCCACTCAGTTCTTCTCCCTGTCCTTTCCTCCACTTCCGGCGAACATCCTCATCCTCGGCGTCCGCTGTCCACACCAGAGTGAGGAGCTCCGTGGGGGCCCCAGCTAGTTTGAATCCAAGCTCAAGGGTGTAGGCGTGATTCTGCGAGGAGGTGGGAAGTGCACTCCTTTCACTGGTGATCTCAAAGCAAATTTGTCCAGACCTCTCTTGCGAGAGAGCTGGCAGGTTTTACTATTTCTCAATCGTTTACTTGCCAAGCTCTCTGGTCCACGCGCCTCAGGGATGAGCCCTGCACGCTGAAGCTTCATTCAAAGGCATGGCAAGGCAGCCCACGAGGTTGGGATTGGGGGATGTGAATGACCTCCAGGCCACTTCCTCCTTCTCCGCGCCCTTCCTCCACTCCTCCAGCCACCTTCGCGTAAACAAAACTGCCCCCAGGGCGGGGAGAGGTCTCGCTCTTTCTGCGCTCTCCCTCGCAAAGGGTTAATTTTTCCGATCGCACGAGGGGGAGGAGATTTCCCTGTAGACGAGTAAAAAGGGTGATGGACAAACGTGCAGGCACTAAGACCGCAAGGCATTCATTTCCTCCTACGGTGGATGCGGACGCCGGGAGGAGGAGAACCCCAGAGAGAGGAGCTGGGAGCCGAGGCGCAGGCAATGCTCAACCCTGGATGTAGCTGAGAGGCTGGGAGAGAGAGCGACCGCCGGAGAACGAGCGGCGAGGGGGAGACCTAGGGGGGTGGGTGGGGGAAGCAGACAGGAGAGCACTCGAAATCAAGCGCTTTACAGATTATTTTATTTTGTGTAGAGAACACGTAGCGACTCCGAAGATCAGCCCCAATGAACATGTCAGTGTTGACTTTACAAGAATATGAATTCGAAAAGCAGTTCAACGAGAACGAAGCCATCCAATGGATGCAGGAGAACTGGTAGGTGATGCTTTCGCCCGATACTGTTCTCGGCAGCCCTGCGCGTCTTCCAGGAGTGCCTTCATGTCGGTATTCTCCGTCCGGGCGTGAGTGGACCGATGAATCGCAGGCAGCCAGCAGATCGCTGAGTTCTTAGGTCTCCCGGGTGCAGGAGGCACCCGGGCTGCATGAAGCGCGTGGTCTGTGGGTGCCCCTGTGTGAACCGCGGCCACTCGGGCATCTTTTATGTAGATTATATAACATAGAACATATATGTGTGCATAGAGTGATGTCTGCGCGACAGGGAAGGCAGGGGAGATGCCTCAGTCCAGACTCCCCACCTTTGCTACCTCCTGGTTTTTATCTACATTTGGGTTTTCGTGCTCGGCCTCTCACAACCGGAGTGTGAAAGGCTGTGAGGGAGGACCCCATCTCCTGCTCCCTTTAACCCTCTCCCGCCCGCCGCGCTCGCGCCGGTCCTCGCCCTCTCCCCATCTCTCGTGTCCTTCCTTTCCCCTTGCAGCTCTCCTACTCCACCGTCCTCCTCTGGCTGCCGCTCCCCAGCCGGATGCCCCCTTTCCGGGACCCCTTTCCCCACGCGGATCCCTTTCCGGTTTCATAAAAGAGACGGAGTGGGAGGGAGAAGAGGAGGGGACAATGAAAACAGTAATAAATGAATGAAACCGAGCGAGTGGAGCCACGCCATGATTAAGTTTCTGTTTTACGGAAACGCCTTTTGGACGCATTCACTCCTAATTCAGTGCTAAGCTCATGGCTGGAGTTCAGGCACACGGACTAAAAGGCCCTCGATCTGCAGGCTCCTTGGAGGCACTTCCCCAGAAAAACTTCTAATCGGGAAAAATACCTTTCTTGTTTACTGTCCTCCCTCCGCCAGTCCTTTTGAAAATCCCCATGTGAGAGGCGATCTCGTGTCACCTTGCAATATTTAACAGGGGAGGGTGTGCTCATCTCGCGTCTTCCTTGTAGGCAAAGCCGTGGCAAAGACATTCTCACTCCCCTCTTCCTCCTAAACCCCCAGTCTGGCGATCAGTAAAGGGCTAGCCCAACGCACCCCGGAGCTGGGCAGTGGCCGGCAGCCTCGGGGTGGCTTGGTGGGGGAGGGTCCGGCAGCGGGGGTCCGGGGGAGCTAGGGGATTCCGCCGGCCGCGTGTCCCCACGCCCTGGCGCCCTGCCTCTCCTCCCTCCTCTCATCAATGGGAAACTGGAGACGCCGGCGCGCCGGTGGCAGTGGAGGGTTGGTGCAGTAGGAGGGGGTTTCCGTGGGGCCGGGGCCGAGGGGAGGGGTTCAACTTCCGCTCCTCCGGTGCCCTGGAGTTGCCGACCGGCCTCCGGAGGCGCC